CCTTCCTTCCTTCCTTCCTTCCTTCCTTCCTTCCTTCCTTCCTTCCTCTCTCCCTTCCTTCTTTCCTTTGCTGCCACATGTGACCCTCAGCCCAAGCCTCCTGTTGAAGCTGTGTCATATACCCCATGCATGTTGCTCTTCTACCCAAAGGAAGTTCCAAAGTTGATTTGAAGGATGATGTGTAAAACTGACCACCTAGATAATCCAGGAGGAGCCAGTTTGCCATGCAGTGTGACAGTCACAGGTTTTAGGGTTTGGTCATGAGAGTCTCTGGGGATTAGTCGTTCTGCCCACTGAAGTCACCTGTTTCTCTTATTGCAACATCCTGTGAGGTTGTTTTGTTACTCTCCATTCATGGACATGTAAACTGAGGCACCAACACTTTAAACAAATTGTCAGGGATACGAAGATTCCATTGTGTTTGTATGTATGAGTGTGTGTGTGTGTGTGTGTGTGTGTGTGTGTGTGTGTAGTGTGTGTGTTTGTATGTATGTGCACACAAACTTTCAGGAGTTCAGGAGTTTGTTTGCTCTTTCCACTATGGCACCTGAGGGTCAAAATCAGGATCCTTTTTACCCGGGAGGCAGAGAGGCAGGATGTCCTGAGTACCAGGCCAGCCTGGGCTACACTGAGAGTGAGGCCAGGTTTCATAGGGAGATCTTCTTTCAAAAACAAAGACATATTTTTCTGACGTTTTGTGGAGGTTTGCAGTATTGGTGATAGGTCAGCTTCATGAAGCTTGTTTTGGAGCACTGAAGTGGCCTGCTGAGATTAGAGTTTAGCAAAGAAGTCCTTAGAGATTCCACTAGTGGGAGAAACACCCAGGTGGGGAATTTGTGACCTTGCTTTCTTGAGGTTTAGATGGAGGACCCCTGGTTTCTGGAATGGACTCAGCTGAGTCAGCTCAACTGTCAATCACACACCTAGGGTTAGCACATCGACTGTTTTAAGGCAGAAAGGAAGCCCAGTAAATAAACCCGGGGTCTCATTAATGGAAACTAGGGTGTCTCTGGGCAAGGGAATGACTGGGAGGACCACCAAATGTAAGACTAAGCGTGGCTCTGCCTGTCATTTGGGTGTTTTTGATTGTTTCTCATTTAAGCACAATTCTCTGCCTACTCCCTTCCTTGTGTAGTAAAGGACAGCTCTGCTCTGAAAGGAGTTTTATGAGGAACCAGAATTAGCCAGAATCTGGGCTGGGGTGTAGCTCAGCAATGGAGTGCTTCCCGAGGGTGCAGGATGCCCTGGGTTTCACCCCATCTTGCAAGAAAGAAAAATAATAAGAAGAACCCAGAACCTCTAATTTTGAGATAGAACCCAAGC